ATACTTGGCAAAAGATTGGATTTTCAAGCTTCACATGGAATTTTTTGTATATACCAATTTTTATTATCACTGTCATTGCCATTTGTGCACAATATATGGCACTGAAATAATCAGGTTTACACTGATGTGCAAATACCAGCAAATGGAATAGCTTTGCTGAAGTTCTGGAGGCTTTGAATCAATTTTGTTATTGAGATCTTTAAATATTGTTGATAACTAAGAGGAACTTTTACATTTCACTAGGCTTATGTCTCTTCTGGTCTCCGCTGTAGCGGCTTACTGCTAAGGGAACTTTCAAGCAACTCAAGGTTTTATAGATGTATTTATGCTATTAGCTTATTTTAAAAACTGTAAATATTTTGAGAAAAACAGAATAGAAATATTGATTAATCTGTATAGATTAAAAGTATTGTTATGTAAACTGGAAAACTCCTCTATGGCAGTGTTTCAAAGGAATAAAGATACAATATTGAGAAGTTATTTATCTTTTGGAAAATTGAGCCTGCATATTTTCTTAAAAGTTGCACTGGATTAATTAACTTGTTGTAAAATCAAGAATAAACTTGTGCAAGCATGTTATCTAGCTCATCCAGAGAAGTGTAAATGGCATTTGAGTTTGTTTAATTCCTGTCTGTTTTTCTGTGTTTGCATTGTCAGGTATAAGTAGGCAAGGTACAGTTCAGTTAATCAGCAGGTTCAGGGCGCAGTCAGTGTGCAGTGATGCACAGGTTGGTGTGGGGTAAAATCGCCTTGGCTAGTAGGGGTCCAGTTTTAGGTTCTTCATTTTTTCCACTTGGGTATCTAAACTGGGGCTGTGAAATTCACTCCCAGAGTTTAAGGTTCCCAGCACTGTAACACTCCGTTTTATAAAATCTCAGTGTGGTTTTGGTCTTACTCTAAGTTACTAGACTGTATCTTTATGCCCCAACACTGTGGAAAAGGGCAATTATATTCCTTCATCTGTAAACATTTTAAAAGGAATTGCTTCTTGTCTGCAAGACGCAAGTCTTCCGTGTTGTACTAGAAGATATCTCTGTGAAAAGCCTAAAGTAATTTCTTACAGCAAGAGAAAGCATATTTTAACAACTGGCAGAAAGAAATATGTCCACGGGTTATGATCACCAACAGCAAAGGCAAAACCAAAGGGTGATACAGTGTCTCTTTAGAGTGCTTATACATTTAACTGATAGTATTTCTATGCATAATAACCCAGGAAGGCATAGCTGAGAGAAGGGGAAAGTCACATACATAAAGTCCTGTTCATAAGCTCCATACAAAATGAGATGTCTTTAATTGAGCAAAGCTGAAATTTTCTTGGATCTGTCAGCAAAGCTGAAATTTCCTTGGATCTGTCACTGAAAGGATTATTCAAACCTGTAGTTTGTCAGGATTAACATACTCTTTCTCATTCCTTTCCTCTTCATTCCTTTTCTGACAGAAATGGTAATTGACAACTTTTAGCAAGGAATAATGTATTAATCTGTATTCAGATAACTCCAGTTTACAATTACAGAATCACAGAATATTAGGGATTGGAAGGGACCTCAAAAGATCATCTAGTCCAATCCCCCCAATTAAATTACTTATTTAATTTCACTTACCCCATGTAGGGGGAGATTTGCTAATGCCTTGTTTTCTCAGATCTCATTTTTTACAGAAGTGCAGCCAACATAATGAATTTGAGAACTGGCTTGGGAAAAAACAATTTCTCATCTGAGCTGTACTCCCCTAAATGATAGATTTGGGATTTCAAGACGAGCACTATTACCAGTCATTCTTTAAAGTGTATGGAGAACCTCATCTTGACAGAGGTAAACAGGTCACAAACTTACCACATAAACTCTAAACGATCGCAAAATGATTTACAGTTCTGACGTTGAGTGCTTCACCAAATGGTTGTACTAAATATAGTTATTTGCACAATACATTCTTCTGGGATTTGACAAAACAGTTTGTATAAAATAAAGACTGTCCTGGGCTTGGGCACAAAGCTTGGCCCAAAGCAAACATTTTTGAAGGTCAGAAAACTTTGAATAACTTGTTTTGTTATATTCAGATGTGCCTTTGTATTTCTTTGTAGAAGGCAGGAAAGTCAATGCCATGAGAAAAGCCCATTATTTAAAATGAACTGACCAGAAACTCCAGACAACTGGAATGCTTCCAGTACAAAATAATCCATCTTTTCTCTCTTCTGTGTTTTTTTCCCCCCTTCTCTTTTATGGCTACCCAAAAATACACAGCTGCCTCTCAATTTCCTTGAGAATGCTGGTGAACTTTCCCTTCGTAGTGAACCACTCCCTCATTCCCATTAGTGTAGGAGGCACTGCTCATCCTTTTTCTTTGCAGATGTGAACTGCAGTGATGGTCACCTCTTGTACATGCTTTGTAACGTGGCAAAGCATTTTTAAAATACTAAAAGGTGGAATAAAATCTCATCTACCTACTCTTTAGTGTCAGAAATGAGGAAATGCAGAAAAATTATACTTTAGAAAGTAAAAAAAAATTTGAGACTGTATTCCTGACTGAAAAATATTTATTTGTCATTGTTATACTCCAAGAATAATCTCATTTTTGATGCATCTTTACAAATTTCTGTTTAAAAATCCTCAATGAAAGATTCCTTTCTTCTTAAATCTCACCTCTGTATTTTGTATTCCCACTAGTTTCTTCAGGCCCCAGTTGCTGGGTCCAGTCTTGGAAATGAAAGTCAATGGATGTGCTCCAGTTAAACATTCAGTAATAGTGATAGGGGAAAACTCATTACAACCCTATCTACTGGACAGGAGGTTTATAAGACACTCACCACTTTGCGAAGGATCTGTTCTCATCACTTCATCAATTACAGATTCCATGTTGCAGGTAGTCCTAAAACTGAACTTCTGCTGAACATTTAAAGCAGGCAGAGCAATACATCTGCAGGTTTGCAAGCTCCTTTCATTTTGTTCAAAATGCTTTAGGCTGCTTCTGAATATCAGCTGAATGATCTAACCTGGCAAAATTGCTAACAGATTAGAGGATACCAGGTGCCCTCAAGTAAATTAGTAAAGTGTGTGTAAATGCCATCTCTGGGTGGGAAGCTGGCATGCTTGCAGGACATAATTTAGTTCACATTCATTTTCAAGTGAAGGTGCTTTTCAACTCTTACTTTCCTCTTTCTGGAGCAGTTTCTGAGGACAGAGATTTTTGGTTGCTTTGAATCTTCTATATTTTCTATTTATGTATAAAAATTAATAACTAGATAAAAGATACCCTGCCTGAAGTTACTTAATCTTTCATAACAGCTATTAATCAGAGTCTACAGTGCACTCTTTCAGCAGAGACAGGAAAGAAGCATCTCTCAGAACAGCTCCATCTGCTGCCAGTCTGTAGGCTTCAGCAGATCCCTTCGAGGTGATTTCCCTGCCTGGCTGAGAAAGCAGCTGAGTGACAGGAAAGATGAGATGCCATTTCATAATGCAAAAAGTTGCAAAGTAAATACATTTTATTTCTCCCTGCTTATTTTGAAAACAATAGATATAGTAGTAATGCTTACTTGAATATGAAGATTTCTCCAGAAATGTCAATGAGGAATGGTAGCTAAGTATAACTGAACTATTACTGTGTGAAAGCAGGAGGGAAATATCTTTGCTAGCATACTAGAAAAGTGAAACTAAGGCTGTAAAGACTAGCAAGGCAGAGCCATCCTCAGAGTTCTCATAAAAATGTTGTTTGACAGTAGGTGTCCTTACAAAGTAATGCTTTCAGTTGTCACTGATGCTTTGACTCACCAGCCAGTGAGTGCCATTCTAAGGAGCATTTCTGCTACTGGTGCATATTCATTACATGAGGTGCTTTAAACTAAAAAGATGTGGGCATTGTCAAAGCTGAAGAGAGGTCAGACTCAAATTAATAAAACTAAAATCGAATTACAGCTTTTAAAGACAAGTTTAATTTTCCTTCCTTCCTTCTTTCACTCTGGTAGTGTGTATTCCTGCCCTGTTTTGGAAGTGGTTACCTTGTCAGTTAATTTACAGATGTCAGATATGCAACCGGCTTCCACGAAACAGGTGTGTAGTTATTTCCAGCACCACTGTATCTGGAAATCTTCATCTGTAGGAAGAAACTGCTTTTTGGTTTTTCATGTTTATTATGTCCTTTAGGACACAAGGAAATGGAATGAAGCAGTGTGAGGGGAAGTTCAGACTGAACATTAGGAAAAGGTTCTTCACTGAGAGGGTGGTCGGCCAGGTTCAACAGGTTCCCCAGGGAAGTGGTCATGGCATCAAGCCTGTCAGAGTTCAAGGAGTGTCTGTCTGGACGATGCTCTTAGTCATATGGTTTAGTTTTAGGTAATCCTGCAAGGAGCAGGGAGTTGGACTTGATAATCTTTATGGGTCCATTCCATCTTGAGATATTCTGATATATGTACAGTGACAAAATTGGTACTATGAAATAATGCTTTTTTTAAGAAGAAGCATGTTGAGCTTAAATTTAACACACTGACTTTAATATGTTATACCACATCACTGATGCTCTTGAAAAACAGTGTTTATTTGGCCTTCAGCTAGATTTTCAGGAAAGAAATTGTAGGCTATGATAGTGTGAGGCTGCCCTCTGAAAGAAGTAGTTGAAGTCATAGTAATCATTTGAGCTTTCCTGGACAAAGAAAGTAACAAACCCACGTGTTTAAAGAGGTAGGAAAATACAGTTGCATCTCCTATGTAGACAAAAAGTTCTGAAGTGGAAGATTATACTTTTTTGATATAACTGTCACAGAAAATGTTGTTGTTGAAGGTATAATAAGCTGTTCCTACTATACAGCTCATAATCTCAGTACATACTGGTCATTAGACAATCATGTAAACATAAATTCATCTAATGGTCTATGAAATGTTCTGAAAAAGTCATGTTATTGAGCTAAAAATTGAGGCAAATAAATTGATGCAACTAAATTTAGTGAAGATATTTCTACCTTTTATTTCTCTTCTAATGTGTCCTCTCTTTGTGTTTTTTTTTATTAGAGGACAACAATGGATGGTCTCTGCAATTTGATAAACATTATACAAAGGACAAATACAATAAGCTGAAATCTCTGTATGCGTTTCAGACAAAGACCCCTGAGTGCTGTAAGTAACTTCAGCTATTATTTGTGTGGTTATTACTGATGATTCCTAGGAAGAAATACGTAACAAATATGCTTATCAGAAAGATAAATATAGTGCAGTTTAATTTATAGTAAAACAGAATTAATGTCTCAGGCGAACAAATGCATTGAAGCTTATATCTGTTCCATTAAGAGTGATTCATTTTCTGTAAGAAAAGTGTCAAACATGTAAATTAGGAGGGCAATACAAACATTTATCTGAATATATTAAGACAGCTGGAGAGACCGTGAAACACACATCTTTTGTAGTGAAATGAAGGCAAACGTCCTTCAAATTAACTTCTTCATACATGAAAAGATTCTTGCAAACCCTCACTTCTGCAGGTATTCATCCCTTTGTACAGCTTTTCTGATTCTGCTGTCTACTATGATCACTAACTTAAAGCAAAGAGATGGTGGGAAAGGGAGCAAAGACTTCCTGACCCATTTTCATCTAATTTTCACCTGGACAGAGTTGTGTTCATTCTAGTAAATATAAGAGGACTGAAGAATCTAAAAAAGAGCCACAAAAAGCCATTCCAGAATCCTGTATATCAAGCCTGAAGCTCAAGAGCTTTTACAAGCTCTTTCACAGAGGTCAGGAGGTAATCAAATTTTTTGTGTCCCTTTATATTTATTGTTAGGGTCTTCTCAGGTCTAAATCAATTGTGCAAAAACATGTGCCTTAATCTCTGTTTAACACAGCCTGGTAGGTCTGTCTTTGTGCTCACTGTTCTTTTACATCATGTTTCTTTTCTCCCCGTCCCACCACACCACCCATCCCACCTTTGGCCACAACCACGTTCTTGTTCTCATGCAGTGGCTGGTGCTGTGCCAGCAGAGTGTATCTGCCAAGGGTTGGAGATCTTCTGCGATGCTGCCAAATTGCGTGCTGTCCCGCAAGTCCCTTCAAACATAACCGTAATGTAAGTAGAGCAGAGAAGTGGTCTCTTGCTCTGTTCAACTTGACTATCAATCCTACAACATTTTCATAACTACAGCCTTGTAATAATGACTGGTTGGCTCAGCTGGTGCTTGTGAAACCATAGTGTCTCCCTGTTGACAAGTCCTTTACTGTTTTAAGTACAGACTTTCCCTGCATAAGAGGAGAGAAAAGGAACCAAAAAACTCTGTGTGAAGTTATCGTTTCACGTTTGTAACCATGACTTGAGCTAGCAATAGTTTCAGGAAATCTAAAGAAATCTTCAAAAGAAATGTTTCCTTTTAAGACACAATGCTTAGAATCTTTTTATTATTCTAGGATCCTGCCAATATTCCTAGTCTATATTCCTGCCAACAAAGTCAATAACCTTGAACTCAGTGGAACTACCTGCTTGAGCAAATCTTTTTACTTCTCATTTGATGTCTCTGAATACGCTGTTATTTAAACTTCATAGCAAAGATTAATGTGGAATGTCAAATATATATTTAAACTTGCTGTTGGCTCAGGGTCAACAAAGACTTCAAAAATAATGGCCCAGTTCTAGCTTTAGAAAAAGCAGTAAGTCAGTTCAGCTGGCTTTCAGGCTAGACTCTGCTAATCCAACCATGCCCTGAACCAGTGCCCAATGGAGATGAGCACATAGGGACACATGCACCAGGAAATAAGCTCTGTATACATTCAAGGTTTGAAATATATCTGTGGTTTATTTTATACTCAAATCTTTTTAACTCAAATTTAACTATTATTTTGTCAGTTGCTCTGGAGACATGGAAGAATATTTTTTGATGATGAAGTATTTGGCTTACTACTTAAATAGATACAAATACTCAGACAAACAAAAGTAGCATATTCAGATGTTTTAATGTTTTATTATTTAGCAGTGTGAAAGTGGCTCTTACTGAATAACAAAAGTGGCAGCACTGTAGGAAGCTGGAAGAGTAGTTTTACTGTGTACATTCATTCCTACAGGTCTCTTCAGAGGAATCTGCTAAGGAAACTTTCTGCTGACATTTTCAAGAAATACCAAGACCTTAAAAATCTGTAAGGGAGTGCCTCAACTTAAAATATCTGTTCAGTGCCTTAAATAATTCATCCTCTCCCTTTCACATACACACACACAGACCTTAACACCTAAGTGACAACCCTCAGTTTATACTTGAAATTCTGTTTTGTCTTGCCCTTCAGTACGTCATCTAATTGTGCAACTTGTTTGGCTCAAATAGCTTGATTTGACATCTCTCTTCTGCAAAACTGATTTCTGCATACTTATTTTTTATGTTGGCTATTTTATACCAGAAACATGTTAAACTTTCATCATGTCTGAAGAAAGTTACATCCATAATGAACAATAATGTGCCAAAAGAAATTAAAGTAACTTAATATGTTTATTCTGCAAAACAAAAGTTTAGAAACTTAAACTTCCAGTTGTCATGGGAAGTTCACTCACATGGTACTAGGTTTTCCTCCTAATTATGTCTGGTACCAATTTGAGAATGCCTCAACTATTCAAATTGTTATGGCAACACAATACTCTGGTATCTTTTATTATGTGTAACATATATATTTTTCAAAGATCATAGCCTTTGACAAGTTTACTTTCTATAGAATTAGCAAAATTAAGGATTAAATGCAAAAGTCTAGAGCAGGGCCCCTATGTCACCAATTCAAGGCACTGAACAGTCCTAGAACACGTCACTGGAGTGCAGCTGTTCTGGAAACTGCGCTGTACTGCAGCACCATCGTGTGTTCACAAAGTTAAGTGTCATTATGACCTTCAAGTGTTGAAAGATAAGTTTCCATTAAAAGAAATACATCCATATCTATCTGTACAAACTATTTGTTTCTAATATTAATTTCACACGTTTCTGATCAATAACTGTACATTTTCAGAAAGCTCTTGGGCATGTTTGACACAAACCCATTCGGTAAAAGCCAATGTCAGATTTCTTACTGCTTTTTAACAGGAATGCATCTGGGTGCTTTATCAACTGCTATCTAATTAAAAGGATTTATATTTAAATATTTACAAGCGAATAACACTATAATGCTTTGAAATTATTTGAAAATTATTTTACATTTGCAGTTGACAATATTTTTGGATTTATTTCATCAAAGTAGATAAAAGAAAACAGAAGGGAAAAAATAGTATTCTTTAGTTTACAGAAAATTAGTAAGATTTGTTTTACATTTTTATTATATTATCTTAAAAATGCATCATTTTGAAAACTATCTGATGCTACAAACAGAAAATTCAAAACCACATGTTAATTTGACATTTGCCATGCAAAATTTTGTTGCTTGTAGCAGAGTTCTGGCTAAATATTGAGATCAGGTCATACAAGTCTGAAAGGTTAGGACCTAAAGCAGGAGGCTGCAAACAACTGCTTTGTTGTTCATCTCAGGCAAACCAAGTGTCCCTTTGGTCCCAATGAATTTTGTAATTCTGCTGGGAGGAGGGGTATTTCTTTTAAAACACCTTTGTGGTGTTTGCAGCTACAGCTGTGAAATGTGTATTGTCAAATTTAAGATGTAACAAGTTTGGCAGCTTCTTTTCAAGTACCACATGTGCAATCAGTTTAGTTGATGGATTTTAATTTATTATTTATGCTTGCTTTGACTTTACTCCCTTAGAGGATTAACTGTTGTTGTTGTATCTTCTTAGGTATCTTCAGAATAATAAAATCAGAGCTGTATCTGAACGTGCTTTCAAAGGTTTATACAACTTGACCAAACTGTAAGTATTGCTTTTTCAATACTGAAGTAAAGAGCAACTGGAAGAGCTCTGAGAGTGGTTACGGATGTCTCACTCTTACTTGATTCAGTGTTAGGAAGTTGCAAAACAGTATGAATCTTTAACTCAATGATAGGATTGAGAAAGCAAAGTTATCAGTGCAAATTTATCTGGCAGGACAATACTTTGAAAACACCAATGAGCTCCATACTTCACTCCTGTTCCCCAAATCTGCAGAATGGAAGAAGGAGACAGTGTGGTAGTTACCCACATAAAGTCAGAAAGAATGGAAAAGGAATAAAACAAAAGCAAGAATTTGTGATGAATCAAAACTCTTTAATGTTGTCTTTTAGTTTACAGAAGCAAACCAAAGCAAACAGTATCAGAAATGAAAAGAACACAATTTTCTTTATTTTGCAGCAGCTTTTTGAAAGATGCTTCTAGCTTTTAGGGAAAATGCTCAGTGAAAGAGATGGTATGTCGATTGTGTTGTTCAGATCACCTTCTTGTTTCTGCAGTGTTTTTAAAAGGACGATTTTTTAAAATGTGTATCTCTTCTTTTTCTGATACATTAATGTGTTTGATTATCTGTTGTTACAGCTGCTGTTATTACCTTCCCAAACCATTTATAGTACACCTCCTTCCTCTTCATTTCTCAGGCTTTCTTTTTCCATGATTCTGGTATCTATATTTGACTAAAGTCCTTAGCTGAGACTGAATGGTATCCTGGGAACACTGATGAAATGAATCACTCACAGAAGGAAACTGGAAAGGATCTAAAATATGGCACAGTGCAAATATTTAGCTTTCTGCATTCTCTTATAGATAAGACAAAATGTTGTACATAATTGTTACAAAAGTCCTCACTACAAGGAGTCCTGCCTTGTTCTCAAAGAAGGGCATGAAAATTACCATAGTAAAAATTTTAAAAAAATTAGCAGTATTCTGATAAATTATGAAGGAAAAATCTTAAAACTCATTTTTGTGCATCTGATGCTAATTAAGAATTCCAATCTTTTATCTTTTGTTGGTCTTGTTTCAGATACCTGAGTAACAACAAAATAATCAGTTTGAAGCCTGGTGTCTTTGAAGATCTCCACAAGCTAGAATGGCTGTATGTTGTTTTCTTATTTGTATGTTTATTTTCTCAAGGAATAATTAAAGCAATAGAAAAAAAATCTGGATTGCTTTCATTTTTGTACATAGTATAATAGAGATAATAATTAAGGAACTCCTGTTAACAGTGAGGTAAAAACCCTACTGACTTTGGTTAGAGCAGAAATTGTTTCTTGGGCCTTAGTGGCTCCAATGACTGATGACTTTTACAATACTAAATAATGTATATTAGTAATTGCTTGTTAAAAATTAATACATAACTCAAATACTATCAAACAATAGAAAGAGGATTTTGGGGGGCAGGTTTTACCTTGTAAATAGTGCTTGAAATATCCCAGACAAAATTATTGTCTTAGTCCGAAATACACGATTATTAGTGCTTTTCAGACTGACTAAAATGAAACACTATTTTGACTCAGTAAAGTTACTAAAAATAAGTAAAATAACATGCCTAACATTTTTTCTCTGTGTTTGGAACTGTTGGATTTCTGTGGAACAACGTTATGTAGTGCTGCTTTATTTTCACAGGGAATCTATTCAAAGTGTCTTGATCAAAGAATTCTAAAAACTCACTAAATCCCACTTTTTTCTAAGTTTAAAGTAATAACTTTATTTTTTTTTAATTAAATTCTTCTGAATGGAAGTTAATTTGATGAATACCCTGACCTCCTAAGGAGTAGTACATTAAATTTTTAAGCAGTTTGAATGGACATTTGAAGAAAACCATTTCAAAGTATGTTACTTTTTATTATCTGTTCAATTTAAGACTGCAGACAGTTCTAAAAGTAATACATGTTTTGCTGTAATTTACAGGATAATTGAAAATAATAAGATAAATCGTATCTCTCCATTAACATTTTACGGACTCAAATCACTTATTCTCCTGTAAGTATGGAATGAGAACCGAAAGTGTTATTTAAAAGAACTGAACAGAAAGGGCAGATATCTATAAAAACCTTTTTACAATGACTGCTTGCTCACCACAGAGTGCTGGCAGTACATCTACGGCTTTTTCTTACCCCCAGGCAAGATGTGCTGGAGTAGGGATTTGGCAGCAGCAGACATGCAGTGTCTGGAAAAGTACAGGGAGATGGGTGGGCAAAATGCTAAAAGACAACATCGCTGAGAGGGCAAGGAGATGACAGCTGTGGCAATGGGTGCCAGTTGTCCCCCAGAGCTGCAGAGCAGGAGGCGGGGGTCCCAAAGCTCCTGCCTCCGGCAGCAGCCCAGCTTCCGCCCCCAAGACTATAACCTGCCACTGCCCTCTCCAGCCCCAAATGCAAGGGACTTCCTTCCCCTGCAGCTCAGAGGGAAACCTCCTTCCATATCCCCCTTCCTCCATCACCAACAGAAGTTATGTTATAACTGAATAATCAAAATATATTTATTAACTTGCTATCTTTTATTTTAAAAGCAGTGAAATCTTTGCTTTACCTGGTAATTAACAAGTTGAGCATAAAATACTGCTCCACAGAATGTCACAGGGAAAATATGTAGAAATTAAAGAAAATAATACTACCTCCAAAACTATGAGAAATTAATCAGGCTTTTATTGTCTTTCTTTCAAAAGTGTAAATGTAAGAGATGTGATTTTTTCTATAATGTAATTTTTGGCAAATATAGCCAACTATACTACTATTTTTTTCAGAGAGATGATGAATAATTCTCTTGCTCGTTTGCCTGATAAACCTCTGTGCCAATATATGCCAAGACTAAACTGGCTGTAAGTCTACCTTATTTCACTAGAAAAATATTATTTTGTTGTCTTCTATGGTGTTTCCACACCAGTTTTTCTAATGGGGTGCTGGATCTTACAGAGTGCCTGCTGGGTCACTGCAGGGTTGATGACCTGAAGTCATCAACTAGATGTGTAGAAAAACTAGATGTCTGGTTCCCAGTCTCTTTTGTGCTGTCATGAACTTCTGGTAGTATTTTTCTTGAATTATCTTAGAATAACTGCCCAAATTTATTTTCAGTGATTGATGTTTTGTTTTTATATCCCAGAGACCTTGAAGGCAACCATATCCATCATCTAAGAAATGTCACTTTCGTCTCCTGCAACAGTCTAACTGTACTGTAAGTAATAGGATATGCTAGCCAGACGAAGCAAGATATGCTTGTGCTGAACAGTCAACTGATTCATTACAGCTAATATAGAAGTTTCCACAGTATCATGGTTATTTAGATCTCAAGGAGATTAAATTAAAATGCTTGGTTTAAAATGAGCACCATACAGAATAACCACTGTTTACTTTTATAGCAAAGTTCAGCATTGATACATGCAACTATATGAAGCAATTTTGACTAATATCAACATTTAGAAGTTTTCTAGGAGGTAAAAATCTCATAATAAAACCCAGCATATGTAGAAAATACATCACTTGTTTCTTCATCTCAAAGCCTTTTTTTGGCTGGTTGGCTGGCCTTGGCTCAGCAATTTTAGAATGTTCCCCAAAGTTTCTTCAGTGATGTTGTCATCATCTTTAGAAAATCTCTTCAACCTTTTACTGGATTAGTGTGATTCATGGTACCTTCCAATTTTTATTTTTTCTGTGGTACCCATATTCTTGGCTTTCTCTTTGCTTTTAAAATCCAAGTTGTTAATTTAAGGAGCAAGCTCGGTGGCAGATAAAATACGTGTGAAGGAAAAATTGCACAGCCATGTGCCTGTGTCTGAGATGTGGTTAGGTCACAAGCCTTCCCGCCCACTTCATCTTCCTCCTGCCCTCAGCCGATTTATACCAGCCTCCTATGGTTATATATAAATACACACACAGAAACACATACATACATAGGCAATTATAGTTATTTATCAAATGGTAAAATGGTAAGCTTCTACAATTGAATTAGGCAAAAATTTGAAGATGCAGAGAGGAGAGAATTTTAAAAGTTTATAACAAGTTTTCTCCAAAACCAAGTAGATGTCAAGAAGCAGCAACATAAGTTTGTTTTATTCTTTCAGGGTGATGAGACAAAATAAAATCAGCTCTTTAAACGAAAACAGCTTTTCTTCTCTCCAGATGTTAGATGAATTGTGAGTTGATTTCTTCTCTTACTTGTACAACGAAGTATTATAATTTACATTGCAAACATCATTTATCATATATCCTATTTCATATAACATGCTCTGGAGATAGCACCCATCCACAGGGTTTTATTCTATATATTTAACAAGGAATAAATAGTCAATAAAATACATATTCTGTAAATATCAATAATATTGGGGGTTTTGCTCACAAGATCATTATGTTCCCTGAATAGAATCACACTAATTAATCTTAGATCATAACAGTGTCTTTTAGACTTGCTTGTCAGTTTCAGTCAGATTGAGAGCTTTACTCCTCTGTGCCCAGTTGTTATGATCTGTGTTTAGTGAAAGTAAGCAGACAAGTAGAGAGAAAAACTAAGGGAAAGACGTAGTGCTGGCTAGCCCGTGTGAGAAAATTCCTGTAGTGAAACAATACATCTAATTTATTTCCAAGCTCCTACAACTGAAGTTAACTGTATTTTACTTTCATTTTGATGTAAATACACTAATAGTAAGTTATGTATCTACTGGCATATCTGAACTAACTAGACAAAGACAAATCTGTAGATCTAGCTTCCCATCTTGCTTTAACAGCATTCTTTCATAGTCAAAGTTTCTAATAACCTATATCATAAATAATATTTGGCAAACAGAATAAAACTGTGTGTCTTGAAACTGCAAAACTGTTTGGTAAAATTACTGAGCCTAGTAAGAACTTACTGTATCCTACCTGTGGCTGTTTCTGCAGAGATCTGGCTAGCAACAAGATTGAATCTCTTCCTCCACATATATTTAAGGATCTAAAGGAGCTTTCACAACTGTAAGGATTCTTTTTTATTATTATTATTATTATTATTAT